AAGGTGAATATTCCGTCCTCGCTAATAGACGCACATTTAACTCGTCGGTTTAAGGCCAAATTAGCCGCAATCACGGAAGAAATAGCCGCACAAGAAAATGCGTTAACTGAACTGGGAGATATCGATGACCTGGAAGGACGAAAGCTCGAGATCAGAAACAAAATCAAGGCGAACAAAACCAAGCTCGGGCAGCGTAATGTAAGTCAAGTCCCTTGGTCCCTTTCTGTCGCTGAATAAGCGCCACAGGCAGAAATAAAGGCTATGGATGCGGAAATGAAGGGCCTCCGGAAAACCGTTGCGGAACTCGATGAACAGATTGAAAAGGAGACTCAGCGACTGGAGAAAAATACCCAGGCGAAACGCGAGCAGATTCAAAATCAATTGACCGCTAAGCAAGCCCAGGTTACGACACACGAGGCAACCATCGCTTCACTCCGGGACCAAAAGCAGGAGCTCCTGAAAAGGAAGGAGAATGCTGAACAACAAGGCAGACAACTCGAGGAGAAGCAGAAGGACTTACAGGATCAGATAAAATACCAGGAGGGGATGATCAGGAACTGCGAGCAAGCGGAGAAAGATAACCTTCTGCCTTACGGGCGGAATATCAAGGCTGTTCTTGAACAGATCAATCAAATGAGGTGGCATGGTAATACGCCGCTCGGGCCCCTTGGAGCGTATGTCAAGGCAAAGGAACCACGGATTTGGGGAGATATTTTGCGCAGCCAGCTTGCACAATACTTAACTTCGTTCGCTATCACGGATCCTCGTGACAGAAACCAGCTAAAAGATCTGTTTTCCCGTTCGCAAAAGTGAGTACATGCTTGTTCATGATCGAGTGGAGACTAATGGTCCTATTCAATCAGCCACCACGTTCAGATCATTATATCTTCCACCGAACTCTTCGACTACTCTGAAGGAGAACCTCCTCCGGCCTACTTGACTGTTCTACGCGCTCTCGAAGTGGGTATCCGTCGCTTTTGTCGTGGTCTTCTTATTTAATCACCAATATTTCTTAGATCGCCAACCCTCTGGTGACGCGCATTTTGATCAATAGCGCAAACGTCGAGAGTCGTGTCCTTGCGAAGACCCGTCTTGAAGCTCAGCGCTCGCTCGAACAACTCCCGAGGGGCGGTATGGCATACACTCTTGATCAATTTATCGTTCGTGTCTTCCCGTAAGTCGCATAACACATCTAATCCTCTTAGCAGGTACTTAAGTTATCACTTACAGTGACGGTATTTCGTCTATACCCCTTGAGCTGAGAAGAAGCAACGATTCATCAAACTTGATGCTTACTGGGCGTGACACCGCAAACGAGATCGGGTGAGTCCCGATTTTATGATGCCTGGGGTGTGATTGACTTTTTCCCAGGCAGGCACGACAAGCGATTGCTTCACTCCAGCAGCAAATAGAGGAAATAAAGCCGGACATTCAAAAGTTCCGTAAGGAATTTGGGGATTGTGTACGACAGGTTTCTGACCTATCGGTACGTTAAATACTTTTATGGGTATCCTGTCGTGATGCTAAACAGACCGTAGCAATCCGAGATAAGGGAGAATTCAAGTCTTCGTATGGTTCACGCAGAATGTCAGAGGCTCAGTAGGGAGTTGAACGAGGAAATGCCTACGAATATTAACGGCTTTGCTGACGAAAAACGGGTTCGTCTTCGAGTATATAGGTGGGAAAGACAAGACATACTGATGGCTTCTGTGTATCTAGGAAAGGGAGGCTGAGATGGGTTCGATCGGAACACAGTTCGAGTCCTTGCTACAGGACAAGAAGATCATCGACAACGAGCAGCAGCAATTGTTGAGTGAACAAACCAAATTGCGAAAGAGGATCGATGTATTTGCTGAGAAGAGAAATGGCCTCAAGGTACCGGAAGCATGCCTCCCTGAAAGCAGAAGCTGACCACATTTACATAGAGCGACCTTGAACAGATTGTTGAGAATCGAATAAGGGCCCAAACGAGTGTGAGCCACTATGAAAAAAGGCTCCAAGAGGCTCAGCAGAAGATCGAGCAAGAAAAACAATCGGCTGATATTCTCCAGAGAGAGTTCGTTGTACGTCGTCTTCGGTACTCGCCTCATTTTATTTCTGAGCAAATCATCCCGTGCCTAGGCCTGGACAGAGAAAGCATCCCAGTATTGTGAACAGGTGCCAAACCCGAGATCACTTCCGGAGCTCAAGCAATTATTGGAGTCCGTTGGTCGCGCATTAAAGGAACGGGAGAAGAGGTAATAATTCAGACTTTTCTTCAGCTCTTACAAGCGCTCACCATCGTGGTTAGGCAGGGTGCTTCGATCGAGGATCTTGAAGATCAGCTATTGAAGGCCAAAGAACAGTATCAGAACGCACGGTCGAATATTCGCGCCATGCTGCAGCTGAACAAGGCGAGCATCTCATTCCCCCACTGAATCTTGGCTATAGAATGCTTATTCTTGCACCCAGAAACTCAGGAGCTCCTTAGTTTTGCGATTTGCCAGGTGGGAAAACTTCCGGCGGCATATTGCACTCCGGACCAAGGTGGTGTTCCAATACCACCTTTCACAGCGCGGTTACTTTGGAAAACTGCTGTTCGACCATGGGGCCAAGATGTTGGTCCTCAAGGTACAAACTGATGATCAGGCGTCACAGGCGGGCCACAAGGAGAAGGACCCACGTTCCCTCAGTGGCGGAGAGAAATCATTCTCGACCATATGCTTATTGCTTGCGCTCTGGGAGTCGATTGGCTGTCCTATCAGATGCTTAGGTATGTGTTGACCCCCGACTGCACATTCAATACGATTTTGACGTTTACTTTAGACGAGTTCGACGTCTTTATGGATGCTGTCAATCGTCGCATCAGTATGAAGATGATGGTACGAATTTTTAACCTGAAGACTAAACAGTCATCGTCAACTTTGTTTCTAGATTGACACTGCAAACGCTTCCAATCAAAAACAATACGTGCTCATTACACCACTGGAGATGGCCAACATCTCTTTCGGAAACACCGTCCGCGTGCATAAGATGAGCGACCCGCAACGAAATCAGGGTACCCTCGCATTCTCATCGTGATCTGGTTATCGTCGGGAACCCTTAGTTAATAAATTACTATACCATACCGTAGAACGATAAGCAATAATATAGCCCCCTAATCCAATGCATACGTCATGGCGCACAACGAGTCAAAGATCAAAGATGGCAGTGTTGTGAGTGCCCGAAGGACGGGCCGATCAATGACGCGTTTGTCGTTGACCGGCGCGTCCGTCATTCCGCGTCACTTAAATTCTTCCTCTACCATTTTCACCCTAGATATCCCTCGTTGGTAGACGACAATCCTGTATAAATTTCGGGATTCCTCCTCTTTAGCACGCCAGTGACATCCCCGTGCTTCCGTCTGACTTGTCCAGGATTAAATTTCCTAATTTCGACCATGTCCCTTACGCCGAGATCCCTGCGCAAAATGCGCATCATTTCGGTTCCTCTAACGCGTCCTAGACCCCCCGCACACAGGACAACGGACACAAGACAAGCCCTAACGTATTATCAGTTTCAAATTACCTCATCCCAGCACCCACCATCCGAGAATGCGACGGAAAAGAAGGGAGCGAAGTCGAGGTGGTTACCGGAAGAGGGTATTGTCAAGTTTCTGCAGGGGAAGGCCGCAGCTACTTGGACTGGATTTGGAAAGACGGAGCAAGGAAGCTGGAAGGTGCGCCCATGCTAAAATGCCCGTGTATGGCGATTAAATTCGAGAATACATTCATTCCACCCAGTTGAAAGTGTATCAAATGGGAGAAAGCCTTGTTGATCGTATGGATTTTGAGGAGCTCGCCTTGAAGGGGTTGGATCCATCTTTGGGGCCCTCTCTCTCTCATCCTTCGCCAGAGGTGGAAAAGCCGTCCCGAGTGAGTTGCGCGTTCGATATTTGGAGCTTAGGCAATCGTTGATTGACCCGCGCCAGATCCCACTCATTTATCCCTCGTCGCTGAGCTCCGATTCCGAGTCTCTGCTCCACCTCAAGAAACTCGTTGAACATCGTATGCCACGGCATAGAAGAGGATTCTACGCGTGGATGATTATTGCGCCCTTTACTGCACCATTCATGATAGTTCGTACGTTGCTTCTTTCCCTTATATCGAATCCAATATGTATTCATAACTCGGGCTCTCAGCTGTAATACCCAACCTTCCTTTCTTCTTCTGTGTCTGGCGATCATGGTCCCACTACAGAGGTAAGTTGCCCATCCTGCGTCCAGATTATGGGGCTAACATCTACGCCGATAGCATATAGAGCAACCCAATACCTACAGGACCTTCTAGCCAATGGTGTTATCGTACCAGAGGGGAGTGAAGCCCTTGACGCTATCTTCAAGGATTTCTCACCTCCTTCGACCCCGTCAGAAGAAGAGTCCTCCAATACTGTGTCAAAAGACGCTCGAGGACACGAACTCTTGTTGAGAAAGGAGGCGGTGCCGACCATCGTCAGCTTATTCGGCTTGAAGAAAAGTGCTGATGCAGATTTATATCGTGCAATTGAGCAGGCTCGCTTGCGCATAGAGAATGGGCGACTGAAGCCTTAGATCTCGCGTTTCTTCGTGGGTTGCCGGGGTATCATGTTTATTGTGAGTTGGAGCTCTATGTACGACGCCTCCTCACTAACCAAGTAATAAAGATATATAATGCCTAACCATCTTTAATACTCGGGCAAATCACCACTCTCCATATTCTATTAATATTACCTGCAATAACCAAATAGACCCAATGTATGTCAATTTACGCGGGATGTGAAGGGGCATCCGACTTCCGGGTTTATATTCTAAGCACGAGGATCCATTTAGGATGCGCTTGAGCCTTGTGCAAGAGAAGGTAGTAGCAAGAGAAACAACAGGAGCACACACAAGCTAGCAATCACAAAGGTGGACAAAAACTCATTGGATATATTCGGGTAGCGTTCCTTCGACTTACTGACAAACACCGCAGGAGGATATTAGAGTGGACCTACCACGAAAACAAGGCGAGATGGCCGAGTGGTCTAAGGCGCCAGACTAAGGACTAGGGTATACAAATACTCAGATCTTCCTATATCATAGGAATCTGGTCCTCCGGGGCGTGGGTTCGAATCCCACTCTCGTCACAACAAGTTTTTTGACAGGAGAGGATGGATATCGAAAGATGAGGATACATGCAGGGTCAATACGAGTTCGGTGATCTGCGGAGATAGAGCCCTGAAATATGATGCGCGATCAATTTTTTTTTATTTTGATCAGTTTCTGCCCTCCTCCTACTATATTCTCATGTGGTGCACTCTCTTTCATCAGGCGAGATGGCCGAGTGGTCTAAGGCGCCAGACTAAGGATCAGGACATTCAGATGTCCATTTACAATCTGGTCCTCCGGGGCGTGGGTTCGAATCCCACTCTCGTCAAACTTTTGCATGTTTTAGCTATTTCCCAGCCACTTTTTGGTTGGGCAGTCCATCTAAGCATACAACAGCCCAAGGATTATCACCCCCCACAAGAGAGTGTGTCTACTTCCTATAAGAGGGTGTGAAAAACTAGTTTGGGGGGACAGATCCTCGAGATCCAGTCCCATCCGGTGGATATTCTTCCCGATTCTTACATGTCCGCTCAGCGCATGCTGATTGGGGACCTGGACTTCCGACATATCAATGATTTATGGCACAGAACCCTCAGATATCATAGGTATTCACTACCTTTTTGAGTGTCTTCATCGGACGTCTATTGACGCGGGGGGCGTTTAACTGTCAAGTGGGCCTAAAGTTTCCCAATCTGGATGCTTTTCAGTCCAGATTAGTAGGGCTGTGTGACCTATGCAGATGGGTGAACCAAGCCACTGCTCTAGGTCACGGTCACGTTTTTCGTCCACCAAATTTCGCTGGTCACTTTAACTCGATCGCATGAATTCAAGCCGCTTATGGTCGCCTTTGACTATATCTCTGCATAGGTTTTACGTATTTCTGTTGCACTTGCCCCACACCAGACCATAATTGCCGTCAAAGAACCAACAAATGACCCCCACAAGACGTACTCACCTCTGACCCCTTTACAGTGTGTATCTTTCACCAAGACCCTGATAACACCGGGTAAAACATTTCGAGATGTGGCGGTTTTGGAGAGTTGTTGGTTCTTGGATGGAAATTTCGTGAGTTTGCTGCTCTATGAATATGATTGTGATGTCGAAACATTTACAGGTTGATTGGACGACCTCAACGACGCGTCATCTCATTTCCAATTTCTCCTCTTCCACGAGGTCGTTTCTTTCGGGTGGGAAATAGGAATGCCCCCGGAACCGATGGTCGAATAGATCTTTCGGCACGAAAATGCTATCTTTGCCTGATGAACCCCAATTCGTCGTATTTCGCTCAGGACAAACACTTACCCCTTCTCATCGCCGTTTCTCTCGGGAATCAAAAAAGGACGCCAGCTAACGAATGATATGGTTAGGGCAGACCAAAGGGACGTATAGGATGGAGATTGGTCAAGTACATTATGCCCAGCTTGATACGACCATCCCCAATAAATCTAGGGTGAGTTGTGAAGTCACGTAGGATGTCAGGGGTTCTATGTTTGCTCCATTCGATACCGCTTCTCGGACCCCCGTATAACCTGCGGTAAAAGCATGTCTTGTGCAACGGAATCCAAATATGCTCATGACGCGACTATTGCGACTGATTGTTCGATGAACACCTATAAGACATTGGGCGTCCTTGACCAGCGATTTCTTTCTTCTTCCGCACTCCACACATGATGTTTCGACTCCAACCACCTAACACGGTCAAATTGCGTGAAGCTTCATTCCTAGTCGCTGCTGTTAGTCGACTCCCACACTCGTTACAAGGTAATGAGAAGATGTCATCCAAATACGTTCGTTCGTTCTCTGAAATGGCTTCGCCACGACCTCCGCCTCCAATAGACAGGCGATGGCTACCCAATTGGACACGGCTACATCTTCCGACTCTTTGTCATGTCATGTGCATGCCTGAACCCCTGACACTACGCTGGACTAGTCACCAGAAGGGACTCCCGAAGATCCGATCTAGGTAAGTGGTATACATTGCTTACTGAAGTTCTAAATTCTGATTCCTTCATCAGAAATTCACCTTTCTCCACCTTCTCATTCGCTGAATGGAGGTAGCACATCTACAGCGACCTCGAAAGGGCCCCAGAATGATGACGTCATCAACGTTCGTAGACGGTCTTATATGCTCTTACGGGTGGACCTTGGAGGCATCACACAAGTGAGAAAAACTCGCCAGCTTTCTAATCTTTCGCGAGACTGTTTTTCTGTGTGGCTTGTTCACTGGTCTACGTGAGATGCCTGTAGATATTCTCCAGCTTCATTCCCACTCTACTGCCTCTCCTCTGAACGATATCCTACAACTCGTTCACGATGGCCTCTCCCGCGATGTTGGCCAAAAGACCCTTCCTACAATTCTCTTGTACGATGAACGAGGACTCAGGCTCTACGACGACATCACCACTGGCGCTGCCGAATATTACCTGTTCAATGCCGAAGAGCAGATCCTCAAGGACCATGCCGATGATATCGTCAAGGTTATGCACGGCGCCACCAACAACGCCGCTGCAGGCGAAATAGTACTGGAGCTAGGTGCTGGGTACGTTGTTAACCATTTCTACTTGGGCCGTCTTCGGTCATCCCCCTCTTTTGTTTTCCTTTTTGGCTCGGTGTGAGTGATCGTCCATTTACTTACGGACTGGCCAATCAGGGCGTTGAGAAAGACATCCCATGTTCTTTCCGCATTAGCTCGCCTCGTCAGCGAACGGATGTCAACCACTCCCATGACCTACTACGCCCTCGACCTCGAGCAGCGCGAACTTGAACGCACTTTGGGAGAAATACAAAACTCATCACTCGGAAAACAATTGGAAGGCAAAGTCAATACAAAGGGAATGTGTGGAACGTACGACGACGGTCTTAAGTACCTCAGCGAAGGAGGCCTATACACTCGAGCCACGGACGAACTCGCCAGCATGAATGAGCAAACCAGAAACTCTGGAAGAGACTCCCCTGTATCCACCCACTCGAGTGGGTCTGGAAGCCAGGGTACTCTAGCCACAGACAGCACTGCGCCCTCGTCACCAGATCCCTCGCCCGCTCCTTTCCATATCATGTTCCTCGGATCTTCTTTGGGCAACTTTTCCCGGTCTAGTGCACCTGGTTTCCTTCGGGATCTACCTTTGAGACCCGGTTATGGGGACACACTCCTAATCGGGCTCGATCATGACAACGATCGGGGTTTAATCGAGACCGCATACAACGATCCTTGTGGACACACCGAGAAGTTCATTAAGAACGGTTTGCGTGCCGCGGGCCGTGTCCTGGGAGATGAGAACCTGTTTGATGAGCGGAACTGGGAGTATATCAATAGATATGATCCAGTACGTTTGTTCGCCATTTCTTGCACCTTGTCATTCTAACTACACCCAGGATGAACGTAAGGCCCCCTGCGTGAGCATCGCAGTCCGTCCCTAACTGAGTTTCCTAGGTCGACATGAGGCGTTCATCAAAGCAAAGGTCGATCATTCCACTGCTACCGCTAGTGGGAGTGTCTATGTCTTCAAAAAAGACGAGATGCTCAAGATCGAAGAGTCATTCAAGGTTGGGCGAGTCGATCTGATATCCATGGCGTAGTCTGATTGCCGGGTCTAGTTCTCCGAGGTCGACGCCCACAGTCTCTTTATCGAAGCAAACCTCAGGCCCGTCCAACGATGGGTAGATAACAACGGTTATTATTCTTTGTGGCTCGTAGAGCGCCCTCCTTTCATGTTCCCGCTTCTGTCTTCTCCTTCTGCATACAACAAGAGAGGCGAGCTGACTCTAAGGCAACCGTTCTCGGTCTCGACTTTCGGCGTTCCTGCCAGGCAAGATTGGGAGAACATGTGGGCTCTCTGGGACTACGTCACGCTGCGCATGATTCCTCCGTCTATGCTCCATGAGAAGCCCATCGACTTGCGACACGTCTGTCTCTTCTATCTCGGGCATATACCCACTTTCCTGGATATTCATCTGTCGCGACTTCTGGGGGAACCACACACGGAGCCTGAAGAATACAAGGTGAATATTTTTGTTTTGCGAATCGACGAGGTTGACCTTTATTATTTTTAGTACATCTTTGAGGTTAGTGAACACAAAATCTTAGGATCTCAGGATCTAATTAGAGCTCAGCGAGGCATCGACCCCGATGTCGATAATCCGACACAATGTCACGTAAGCTTGATACTTGTGTTTTGCTGACAAGCAGTATAACTGATCACATTCGAACAGCCTCATTCCGAGGTCCCAGCGAATTTGGAAGACTGGCCATCTCTTTCCGATATCTTGTATTTCCAAGATCGGGTCCGCGCCCGCCTAATGAGCCTATACGATAGTTTGGATTCCGGAAAGCTTCTGCTCACAAGGAAGATGGGGCGGGCCCTTTTCATGACACTGGAGCATGAAGGGTTGCATGTAGAGACGCTTCTCTACATGCTTCTCCAGAGGGCTGGAACTGGTACCATACCACCGCCGGGCTTCTTAGAGCCCGATTGGAAGTCTCTTGCTGCAGATTGGGAAGCAGCACCTGGTCCCTTATCCAAGACCGTTACATTGGGTCCCGAGACGATCACACTTGGACATGATGATGCTGAGGCAGAGGACGCTCACCCGGATAAGGTCCGCGATATAAAAAACTATGAATATGGTTGGGACAACGAACACCCGAAGAGGGAGGTCGAAGTTCAGCGATTCGAAATTTCTTGGAGGCCAGTCACGAACGGAGAGTTTTACGAGTTCTTCTTGGGCCAAGGAATGGACAAGATCGAGTTGCCGGCCAGCTGGGTCGTCGAGGATGGTGTCGTTCAGGTGTGTTGTGTCATCGCTCTATTCGACCATTAGGTCACAAGATATTTAGGTCCGTACGCTGTATGGTCCGGTACCCATGGACGTAGCGCGGCACTGGCCTTTCATGGCGTCATATGACCATCTTTCAACGTATGCGATGGTCAAGGGTGGGCGGTTGCCTACAGAGCCGGAACTTCGCCTGTTCTATGACAAGTTCCACTTTGGATATGAGGGTGGTGCTAACGTCGGGTTTAGAAATTGGCATCCCTTACCGTGAGCGAAAAATGTTTCGGGGTGCCCGTAGAATTTACAAACTCATTGCGCATCAGGGCTACGACAGGGGGGGTTAGGAACGGGGGTAAAGGAGATAACGGGGGTGTTTGGGAGTGGACATCTACTGTGTTTGATAAAACCGAGGGCTTTGTCCCCTCTGAATTATATCCCGGGTATGTATTCCCGCTGGACCTTCGTTGGTCTAAATTGACGGGCCGTGCAGATATTCCATGGATTTCTTTGATGACAAGCACCAAGTTGTGGTAAGCACAGTTGGGTCATATTTCGAAA